TTATCAAGGACGATAAAGTTATTGGATTCAGCAATAGTATTATAATCAGTCATTTTATGCTTCCTTCTTTCTGAAACCATAAGTTTGAATCAAATAGTTAACTAACTCTTCCAATTTTTCTTTATCTACATCATCTACAACAGCTATTTCTTCACCAGCATGAGCCGAGTGACTTGATAAATTAAGGATTCTGTTGGCAAATGAGTCCGGCTTACCATCAGTTGTTTTAGGTAGCAATACGGGCCAATAGTTATAACCTAAAAAAGTTGCCATTTTTTCCAGTACGTTCCGGATAAAGCTAAAATGATATTTCCTAATTTGCCCATCTGTTATGGCACTTTGAATTTCAGATAAAAGAAATAGATGGTATGAGAATGGTGAGTCTGTTTTTTGCTCTAATATTTGATAAAGACCATCAGCCTGTTTTTCTAAGCGATATTTTTTAAACTCCCTTTTCGCGTTATAAGATAGAATGTCTTCTCCATTAGCTTGTTTTTCGTAAGCCTTATTACTCAATTCATTATAAAGAACATTATAAAATAATGGATTGTGTGTTGTAATGATAAATTTGAGTGTAGACTTGCTTGATTTTATTAAACCTGCCAAATCAACAGCTAACTCAATTAGATGGTTGTCATCTAAAGAACTCACTGGATCATCAATAAAAACATATTCCAATTTATCAAATTCATCTGTTATGCGGTTCGTTGCATCAAGTTCATTAAGCGTAGATACTACCTGCTCTAATAAAGTGTATATAACACTCCAAACAAAATTGCTCTCTTCGCCTTTAGATATTTTTATATTTTCATATTGCCCCTGAACGGAAGTTAGATCATCTTCAGTTATTTTATCTGAGATTTCAGGCGTTGCAGGATTGCTTTTACTAATTCGAAAGGTAACCTCAGAATATTCTTGGTTAAATATAGGTGTAGCTTTACTGCTTGTATAGCGCTGAAAGTTAGTAATGATATTATCATCCTCACCTAATGTTTGCAGTAGTGCAATAAGCCAACTGGTAAATGTATTAGGCTGGATCTTTAACCTAGGCTCCGCATCAGTATCTAAATCGTTATCCCAATAAAACAAGTCTTCGGTAAACGCATTGTAATAAAGAATTTTGTTTCGTGATGGCTCAGCCTCAGTACAGCTTGGATTATTAATGTTTTTAGGGGCAATAAGCTCTTTAAACTCACGTGATAGACGTGTTTTACCTGTACCATTAAAAGCATAGATTAATTGCACTTTTTTATTAGCATCAATTAGTTCTTGAGCAATCTGCTTTAGTGTCTGGCTCATTTCAAGCGACTTCCTTTACATTAGATTTTTGGAAACTGAATAGCAAATTACGGTAGTATTCGTACTGTTTCTGGCGCAAGTCGATTTCACGCGGAAGACCTTCGGTGATGGAGTTGGTCAGGGTGTCGAATTTATCGAGTATAGAAACGATACGGTCTTGTTCGGTGATAGGAGGTATAGGTATATCATAGGTTTCAAACTCTTTAACTCGGACATGAGGCACACCCGCACCTTTTTTCATTGCATGGATATGCTTTTGTTTATTTTGTAGCACGTGGTAAATAAATTTTGGTTTTACAATTTTTAAGTCGGGATGAACACTAAAGGCATCGGTTAAAAATATTGGCCGATTCCAGAAACTGACATATCCTGCATAGGCACCAGATCTGGCTATAACGATTGTTTCACCTTGTCTGTTGCTCTCATTATGAAAATAAGTAGGAATTGGTCCATTGGCAACTACTGGTATTTCTCCTGGTGTTGTCTGTTTTTGGGTAATTGCTGTTCCTCGCTTAAACTGAGCCACTTCCCCCAAAGTCTTCCACTCAACCTCATCCTCTTTAAAACTCAACAACTGGTCACGATAGTAGTTGTATTGTTTTTTACGCATGGTAAGCTCTGCTGTAAGCTCTGCTGTAAGCTCGCTGAATTTGTCCAGAATTCGCACGATTTCAGACTGGATGGCAAGGGATTTTGCCGGATTGTCCGGACAGGGGATTGGGATTTCAAACATATCTGTATCAGGAGTTGCAATTTGTGGCATTTGCATTTTACTCCCAATTTTCTGGAAATATCCCTCATTTGTTTTCAGGAAATAATAAATATACTTTATGCTTATTGCATCATTATTCGAGTGGTATGACCACATCTCATTTTTGTGAGAGAATGGTTTGTCGTAATACTCGAATTCGATAACACCTCTGGATTTGACAATAATCGATGGTTCTCTATTAATATCTTTCTCTGGTATATCTTTAAAATCAACAAAGGCTACTGTTTTTCCTCCCGCAAAGATTTTAAGCGGCGCATTATCTTTGTGAAGAGCTTTCATTTGTCCGGCAGTTATTTTTGTGCCTTTAGTTCGCTGAAGCACGTCCCCTAGTTTTTCCCACTGAACTTCAGCTCCATCCAGCAATTTTTCCAGATAACGATCCGTTTCGTTCATTTCTGCAC